GGAAACAAAGGAGGAGGCAACAATGCTTGATAAGAAATGTACTCATTATCTTGCCCATGTAATTGTAACCCCTTTGTACAGTATTTTCACAATAATAAAAAAAAGAAAGAATGCATCTTAGTAAAATCTTTCTTGAGACCTTCCATTTTTATGGCAAAGTATAACTTCTCATCCTGATTATCATTTGTATAATTACTTCTAAAGTAAAAAATTACTAAAAAATTGACCTCAAACTTACCAACTCACCAACTCTTTAAGTTAATAATTTCCACAAGACCACTCTAGTGCCAAAAGAAAGATAAACCATTAAGATTACTTTCAGCTGAGCGCCAGTGGCTCATGCCTATAATCCTAGCTACTCAGGAGGCTGAGATCTGAGGATCGTGGTTCAAAGCCAGCCCGGGCAGGAAAGTTCATGAGACTCTTATCTCCAATAAACCGATAGAAAAACCAGAAGTGGTGCTATGGCTCAAGCAGTACAGCACTTGCCTTGAGCTGAAGAGCACAAGGGCAGCGCCCAAGCCCAGAGTTCAAGCCCCATGACCAACAAAAAAAAAAAAGATTACTTTCAGGCTGGGAAGGTGGCTCAGTGGTAGAGCACTTGCCTTGCATGCATGAGGCCCTGGGTTCAATTCCTCAGCACTACATAAGCAAAGAAAAAAAAGGCTGGAAGTGGCGCTGTGGCTCAAGTGGTAGCCTTGAGCTGAAGAGCTGAGGTACAGCGCCCAGACCCAGAGTTCAAGCCCCATGACCGGACCCCCCCCCCAAAAAAATTAAAAGATTACTTTCTTAACCACAAATAATTTATTATTTAGGGAAGATTATTTGCAAACTACATAAATATTGTATCTTATTGCCTTCAGTCTTCCTATTTTCCAAGGAAAACAGTCACTTTTTTAAGCAATTAATTGAATATCTTTTATGTTATAGTTACCTAGATATAACAAACCAAATATACAAAGCTCCTGGAGCTTACATTCTAAATACGTAAACTCAAGTAATAAACAAAAATCAAGGTAACATCATATAAACACCTCAGCGAAAATATGCCAAGGCAAGCTGACAAATAGTGACAATGGGTATGGAGATGGTTTTTAAGGTTCTTAATTCTAGTTTAAATGTAAACATTTACCAAAATTATGGCTGCAGCTTAGTCAAATAGTATTATAGCTATTTAGTTCTTGACATAAGAAACAACAACAAAGTAATCATCTCCTTTCTCCAATTCTCAGGGCAAGCTCCTAATTGGCTTTTTAATGGCAGCCTCTTAGAAGTCATGTTTAAGCAGAAAAGTGAAGGACCAAAACAAAAACAAAAACAAAACAATACTTTCAGTAAGATGTGGATAAAGAGCTTTCCAAACAGGTGGTTAAGGGCAAAGATCCTGAGATGGGAGATCCCAGGGTTGCTAGAAAACAGAGGACAGAAAAACACCCTAAAAAATAATGTGGTCTGTCTTTGTAGGTCACTTTGGCTACCATTCTGATCACCTAACCTGTTTTCCAAGTCTACTTCTTCAGCTTGCCAACTTTCAAAATATATAAAATACACACACACACACACAAACAAACAAACAACAACAACAAAAACCCTGAGGCATTATTTTTAAAAGTCACAGATCTTAACTATGTAGCATGATACATAATCGCATGTGAAATCACCCCCTGATCAAGATGTAAAAGCAAGCACCCTAAAATAGTCTTCTCTCTGATATCATTTTCGGCCCAAGTTAGCCAGTGTTTCACTGTCAGAATGTGGTCAAGAACTCTTGACTGTACTACTTCATTTTTCCACAAATATGAACCTTAATGGAATCAAAATTGGACAGGAAAAAGGATAAAGGAGCATTTCTCCTTACACCCGAGTAACCAGGTAAGCATTCTGAAACATAATACAACTCTATCACTTCAAAGTACCTAAAAAGGATTTTAAGTTCTAAAGTTCTAAACCTTCAAAGTCACCCTATGGTCTCAAGATTAAATTCTTTTTTGGAACCATTGTATTGTTTCTTTAGAGTTCATAATTCAGTCATGCCATCTGAAATTTCCCAGAGTTGTAATCTGGTATGTAGTATTACTTTGACAGATAATGTAATGAAGTCTTTCTGCTTTCTGACTTTAGCAGTGATGCTACAAATATCATCACCTGTTACAGAGCACTTCTACTACTAGTGAACAGAATACCATAAAGCATATTGATAACTGCTGTGTTAATAACAGCAGTAAATACAAGGAATTCATTTTAAAAACATGAAGTCGTTTCAGTCTCATTTGATGGTCACTCCCTTGCACTAATCAGGCCTAACTCCTTTCAATCCACTGGGAATCTTTTGACTCCAACTTCAGGATCCAACTAGTTTGCACACCTCTTACTGCTTCTCTGATTTGAATGAAAACCTTTCTATAAACATTATTATCTAATAGTGAAATGTCTTCAAATTTTAAAGGATAATGGATTTTAACATAGGACTGCAGGCCCAATACAACTAAAGAAAAAAATGAAGAACTGGTCAGACCTGCCAAGGTCTTGAAGTTTATCTACATGTACTATTTTGAGGAAGAAAGTGTAAATGGGGAGCATTTGCAAATAAACCTCAGCAAAGAGACAACTATCAAAATTAAAGAATAGGATCAAAAAATTTAGAACATAGATATATTAAAAAAAATACCATAGAGTACATTCAGATCCATAGAGACAGCTCAGGGACAAGTGAGAGCCGGACAGGCACTGAGCGACTCTGTGCCTCCCAGAGGAAAAACTAAACATGGGCAAAGGAATCCTAAGAAGCCAAGAGGCAAAATGTCGTCATATGCATTCTTTATGCAAACTTGCCAGGAAGAGCACAAGAAGCTGCACCCAGATGCTTCCGTAAATTTCTCAGAGTTTTCTAAGAAGTGCAGAGATGTGGAAGACTATATATGCTAAAGAGGAAGGGAAATTTGAAGACATGGCCAAGGCAGACAAGGCTTATTATGAAAAATGAAAACCTACATCCCTCCTAAAGATGAAACAAGAAAGTTCAAGGATTCTAATGCATCCAAGAAGCACCTAAATATCACCCTAAAATCAAAAGGGAACATCCTGGCCTGTCTATTGGTGATGTTGCAAACAACAACAACTGGGAGAGATGTGGAACAACGATGCTGAAGAAGTCAAGAAGCCTTATGAAAAGAGGGCTGCTCAGCTGAAGGAAAAATAGGAAAAGGATATTGCTGCCTATCAAGCTAAAAGAAAACCTGATACGGCCACAAAGGGAGTTGTGAAGGCTGAAAAGAGCAAGAAGGAAGAGGAGGAAGATGAAAAGGACAAGGAAGAAGAGGATGAGGATGAAGAGGAGGAGGATGAATAAATTGGTTCTAGCAGCTTTTTTCCTTGTCTATAGAGCGTTTAACTCCTCTGTACATAACTCACTCCTTCTAGAGAAAAAAAAATTGAAAAGTAACGCTGTGTAGGATTTGTTTTTAAGCTGTACAGTGTTTTTTGTTTTTTTTTTGTATAATTAACACACTACCGAATGTGTCTTTAGATAGCCCTGTCCTGGTAGTATTTTCAAATAACCATAAATCTTGCCTGGTACAGTATGGGGATTATAAATTGGCATGGAAAGTAAAGCAGGTTCTGGTTGGTGCACAGCACAAATTAGTTATATATGGGGATGGTAGTTTTTTCATCATCTGATACAGCTTATATGAAATAATTGTCCTGTTAACAGAATACACTGTAATTGCAAAAATCAGAATACACTGTAATTGCAAAAATCGTTGACATTTTGAATGCTTCCAATAACAATTTTTTATTTAAAAAAATATACAATAGACCTTAGTATCTACGGAATTGCATGATGTGGATGCAGGAATGTAAATGTTTTTCTTTTTGAAAAATTGATTTATTAATTTACTTTGGACTATCCTTAGTCAAAACTGTACACAATAAATCCATAAACAAGACAGGCTTATCATCCCAAGATGAGTGCTAAAACTCTTTGTCTAATTTGATAAAACTGATTAAGAAACATATAAAGGGGCTGGGAAAGTGGCTCAGTGAAAGAGTGCTTGCCTTGCATGCATGAGGCCCTGGGTTCAATTCCTCAGCACCACATACACAGAAAAAGCCGGAAGTGACTCTATGGCTCAAGTGGTAGAGCACTAGCCTTGAGCTGAAGAGCTGAGGGACAGCACCCAAGTCCAGAGTTTGGGCCCCACGACTGACCAAAAAAAAAAAAAAGAAAGAAACATATAAAATGATGAGTTATAATAAAGAAGATATTTTATTGTCAAAGAAAAACAAAGAATATATGTTAAGAATCCTTGGATGAGAACTCGAAGTACCCTAAATAAATGTGACATTTCAAAAGTATGATTTTTAATAGCCATAGTAAGAAATTATCTTCTGTCAAATATTAAGGCAATTACATATTACAAGAAAAATCAAAATAAAAATCTGCAAAAGCTAGGACCCAATTTCAAAGCAAATAGCATATTATATGATTTGGAAAATTACAGCTTTGAGAAAAAATAGAATCCATTCTTTGTTGCTTAGAATATTTCCTTTAAAGATGTAACGTGGATAAGCAGAGGCAGCAAGTCTCCTAGGCTTACTTGTGAATACTTTTAAATTGTCTAGTACCACTTCTAATTATTGGTTTGAAGTAGCAGGCCACTAAAAGTAAAGGCATTTGAATTTATTCTGCACTTCTGGAAGCAGATGAGTCAATAAAAAGTGTAGTGGCTGGAAATGTAGCTTAGTGGTAGAGCATTTGTCTAGCATGCACAAGACCAGGCCCCGAGTTCCATCCTCAACACTCTCAAAAAAGTTTGTAGGTATGATTCAGTACGTTAGACAACATAGGATTATAGAATTCTCTGCTTAAGGTAGCACAGATGAACTTTAAAACAATTTTCATCCAAAATAAAATACGTACGGTCCTTAATTCGGATGCTAGAAAATTCAATTTGGGATAAATGTTATTACATATATTTATGGGTAATACATTAAGAATATTAAAATAAGTGATCTCTAACTAAAATCATTATAATAGCATGACACTAAAAGTTATCATTTTTAATACAATTTTTACATTTCTGGAACAGTTCATTCAATACATACAGTATGCAAGACATACAAAGCCACAGGAAGACAATAGACAGCCTCCTTATAAAACACCTAAAAGTACTTTTGTTCTCATTGTTTACCCGTGACAGACACCACCTGTCACATTCTTTTGATATTCTAAATTATTACACAATGCCTTAAAAAAAGTTTCACATAAAAACACTTACCTTTTTATGAGGGCTCTCAAATTAAATAACTAAATGTTCTGTATACCAATGTATAATTGCATAGAAATATTTTATTAGAAAAGTATTAAGCCAGTTTTTAATGGCTGCCATACCTAAAAGTTGGTACATCAATTTTCATATAATTTTTAAAGTATACATTCTGCAGGTATAAAACTTTTAAAAAATACATTCAATTTAATTTTTTAAAACTTTCTAAATTTACATTTTCAAACACCGCTATGATTGCTATAATAGCTAGATTATAGATATACTTAGCCAAAATAAGTTAATATTTAAAAATCAACAATGTAGTATGCTGGCAAGATACTGTCTTTCAAAATAAGTAGGAGTCATTATAAGGTCAATATACTAAGTGTGCTACTACAAATAAATACATCACAAAACACAAAAGATGCATAGACCAAATTTTAAACATCCAAGTCATTAGTGCAGAAAAAGGCACTTGATCCCTTATGGAGTTAGAAGATTTCAATTTAACTGGCAAATTTTCCCAGGGGATATCATGACTATGAATCAAAAAGAAAAATCTATTATTTCTACTCAGATATTTCTACAGTGTTTCTATTCAAGTGTTTTTGTTTAACTTCTCCTTTAACCCAAATGTTCTTTCCCTGAAAAAGATATCTGCAAGCTAATCATTTTGGCCTGGTGACATATATACCTTAGAAAATGTGTGTGATTCTGTATCCAATCACCCTCCCCACAACTCTAATACATATACATATGTGCACTTATAAATATATACAGATTTTCAGGATTATAAAAATATTTAACTTTTAAGTTTAAATAATTACTGAATGTTAATACAGAATAGATTAAGATTTGTATAATTTTACTTTTTATTTATAAAAAAGGTTCTCTTATAGCAGCATTTGCGTTGCAAATGAAATATGACCAAATAATGTTGTAGTGTACAAGATTGCTACTGCAAATCAATCTGAGCAGCTCAATGTTCCTCTGAAAGGGACAGCTTTCCCCAGCTACACAGGAGCACTCATAGAGTATAAAACCTGGAGGAGCCAGTGACCTACTTACCTGAACCTTCTAAGTGCATGTGAAAGTCACCACCATAAAACTGGCAAGGTTCCTTAAAACTTCCCCAAATGTCCAAGTTACCTTCACTCTTAGAAGTCTGGTAACAAAATTAGTCAAAATTATATTAATGAATAATATTTTAAATTGAATCATATGAACTTATTAGACAGTAAATGAAGGCTTCAAGAAAAAAACAACTTTAAGAGGTATGAGAAAGAAAATGACTAATTTGAAACTTTGACATTATTAAAAACCAAAGAAAACTCAGTCTCAAACAGTCATATTAAGCTTGTTTTTGTTGAGCTCCCGCTCCAGGTTACCAATCAAAGTATCAATGCTTTCTTGTAGATCTTTGAGATTAACTTTTTGATTGACTGTAGAATCAATGGTCTGCACTGTCAAATACGTCTGAAATGTGCACTCTTTGGACATGGGAACTGGCTGTTCAATTATCATTTCTGCTGCCTCCATTTTGTTATAATCTTCTCCATCTTCTGTATCTTCTGAAGGTACATCATCATTTAAATTTTCTTTTGTAGTTACAAAGTAGTTTTCTCCACAGCTGCTCCAATCTCCTGCATACCGATTGCTAAGTGGACTATCTAATTTGGTCTGCTTTGGTCTAAGTATTCCTGGAGAATCAGTAGTATGAAAATTTAACATGTAAGGTCGTTCTTTCTTCCGCCTCAGATAAGTCAGAGAGGACAAGTGCTCTGTGAAAAAATTGTCTGTTGATTCTTGGACAGTTAAACGTTGCACTAGAAATGAATAATAAATTGGCTTTAGTGATAGTGATCTAACTGGTCTTTAAGAAAACAGAGTTCAAGATAAGCCATTTAATAATCAACTACAAACATGCATTTAAAAAGAACATGCACACTATCAAAGGTCAGCATTCCATAATTATTTTTTCTATCATCAGACATAATTAAGATTAGGAATAGAAGCTAGAAGAACGTTCAGTGGTGCTAATTCATGCTGCATCATAACATCCCCAAATAAAAAGAAATTTCAATGTTGATTAACTTTCTGTGCAAGTTAATTATTACCTAGCTATAATTCAATAGTAGCTAAGCTAGTAGCTTCTCCTAAATTAAAGGCTACAGCAAAAAGCAGGCAAGGCATGTTTGTATACAAACAAAAGAAAACAAAAAGTTTCATTTGTCTGCAAACATCTAAATGAAGCAAATACAACTAAAAGGATTACTCTAAAAGTTCTGATCTCAGTGGGCTTTTGCAATTAGCAGCAGTGTCATAATTTACTAAGCAGCCCAAATTTCACTTTGATAAAATGCGTAAATACTAGTTGACCATTTGTTGTTACCTGAGATTGATTATACAGCATTAGCTACTAAGTCTTCATTTTTTGCCTGAAAATAGTACAGACATTTTATTTTCCCATTCTGGTTAGATATTTACCAATCCCAGTAACATTCCTTATATTACATACATTCTTTTTTTGGTCAGTCATTGGGCTTGAACTCAGGGCCTGGGTGCTGTTTCTGAGCTTTTGCACTCAAGGCTAGCACTCTACCACTTTGAGCCAGAGTACCACTTCTGGTTTTCCTGTGGTTAATTAGAGTCACATGGACTTTCTTGCCCTGGCAGGCTTTGAACCATAATCCTCAAATCTCAGCTTCCTAAGTAGCTAGGATTACAGGTATGAGCCACCAGTGCCTGACAGCTATATTCTTCTCAGATAAAACATACCATGTCTTATGGTAGATCATGTAGAAAATTACCAAAGAAATTCATAGCAGATCAAGGCTTTACTGCTTACTCCGAAAAAAATATTGTCTAAGGTCCTTCTGTATATAAAATAGGCTTCGTTTAAAATGCTGAGACAGAGGTATTAAAGATTATCCATAATTCCTTTCTCTATTGTTTATTTTGTTAATGTCTCTCCTTTTATACTTCCTTCACTAAGATAAAAAAGTCAGTAACAACATGCAAACTTTATAATACAAAATGAATGCTGTTTTTCTCACAAAAGAAGATAATCAAAGTGATATTCAGTGAATAACAACATTCATTATATTCATCAATATATTTTATGTTTTCAACTTAATTTTCATGTTTTAGTTATTGCATAGAGATATTTCACACACTGAAGTTCCAGCTACCCAGGAAGGGACCAAAGGAGGATCAGGTCTGCGGCCAGCCTGGGTAAAGTTAATGTGAAGCCTTTTCTCAAAAACAAACTAGAAGCTGGTATTAGTAGCTCACACCTATAATCCAAGCTACTCAGCAAGGTTAAGATCTGAGGATCATGGTTTGAAGTCAGCACCAAGAAGGAAAGTCAGTGAGACTTTTACCTCCAATTCCCACCAAAAGGTCAAAAGTGGGGCTGTGGCTCAAGTGGTAGAGTACCAGAAGATAAAATCCTGTTGCTGCCAGGTACCAAAGGCTCACATCTGTAATGCTCCACTTAGGAGGCTGAGATCTAAGGATCATGGTTTAAAGCCAGCACCAGGCAGCAAAGTTCATGAGATTCTTATTACTATTTAAGCACCAAAAAAAGCTGGAAGTGGAGCTGTAGCTCAAGTGGTAGAGTTCTAGCCTTCAGTGACAAAGCTAAGGGACAGTGCCCAGGACTTGAGTTCAAGTCCTAGTACCAGAACTAAAGAGATAGGGGAGAGGAGATCCTTCTATTTGAGGAACATAGCTTACAAGATCATAATGTTGTCTCTATTATAATCTGTATTAATTAATATCTGATAGTTCGAATAGTTTATTCTTATCCTTGTCTTGATCCCAACTTACTGAACTAAAAAAGCACCAAAAAAGCCATTAGTGGAGCTGTGGCTCAATTGGTAGAGTGCTAGTCTTTTTTTTTTCTTCTTTTTTTGAGCTTCTTTTTTTGTATATCTTTTTTATTGTAAAGATACTGTACAGAGGGGTTACAGTTACATGAGTATGGTAATTAGTACATTTCCTATCCAGCATTGTTACCTCTTCACTTTGTTTTTCCCCTACCATTCCTTCCTTCCCCACTTCCTGGACTCTTCCTCCCCCTACCCCCCTAAAAAAAGTTGTCAAGTTCTTTTTCAACATAGTGTCTTGTTCATCTCATTGTTACAATGGGTCAATCTGTATCCTTATTTAAGCATTTTGTTACATCCCTTCCTCTCCCCAAATTAGAAAAATGTATATACAAGATAAATGGCATCCGAATCAAATACAGTGAAAACAGGTTATACCATGGGGGAAGAACATACAAAAGAAACAAAAAATTACATAATACATTATAAATACACTAAAAACAACAGCAACAAAGATAAAACCTCTTGTGTCCCTATCATGTGGCTCATTTCGCTTAGCATCAGTTTATAGGCTCATATACACATAGATTTTGACTTTTTCAGCTTGTCCTATACATATACTAGTTATTGCAAATAAGAGAAACCATAGGACCTATGTTTCTTTGGGCCTGGCTTACTTCACTTAATATAATTTTTTCCAAGTCTTTCCATTTCCTAACAAATTGGGTGGTGTCATTCCTTCTGATGGAGGCTAGAGTGCTAGTCTTGAGCACTGGACAATGCCCAGGCTGAGTTCAAGCACCAGTACCAGCACCACAAAAAAAAAAAAAAAAAAAAAAAAGACATAAGGGCTGAGGGTATGGCTCAAGTGTAGAGCACTTGCCTAGCAAACTAGGGGGTCCTGAGTTCAATCCTAAGTATGGGGGGTAAGTAGAGAATAAAAAAATCAAACCCGCCTCAAATCCACTCATTATTTAACAAAAAACTAGGAGTTGTACTCTCTCTACACTTACTTCCCCATCTATAAAGTAACTTTACTTTACACAGCAAACTCTTTTTAACGGAAAAATTCTGTGAAATCTCAAGACATAAAACATATATACAGAAGACTATTCTTATGAAAAGGGAAGTGTGTTTACATTGTTCCTCAATCTATCATCCTCAAAGCTACTTGCAGACACCTTACTGTTTGATGGTTGGTGATCTGAGTAACTGCTGGCAGGACCTGCTAATGGTGGTATGCTAGGATTCTGACTTTGAAAGCAGCATGATATTTCAAATACAAATCTTAAAACAGATATATCTTCTTGCCCAAAATTTAAAAAATACACGAAAATTTAGACAGTAGAAAGGAAGAGGGAAAATTATGCCTCTTTACAACTCTGGAGGAAAAAAAAAAAAAAAAACACCAAAAAAAAAAAAAAAACAAAAAGATGTGTAAGAAAGGAAACCTGTGACTACATGGGATGTGCATTCACTAACACAACATGGCCCTCTCCCATATTCTCTCCAAGTCACCATCAATTTTTTCATCTAGTAACTGCTTTATTTTCTTCCTTCCTTCCATCCTTCCTTCCTTTTTCCCTCCCTCTTTCCCTCCTTCTTCCTTGCTCTTTCTCCCTCTTCCTTTTCTTTTCTTTCTTTCTTGTGCCAGTCTGGGGCTTGCATTCAGGACCTGAGGTGTTTTGCTGGAGGCTAGCACTTTTCCACTTGAGCTACAGCTCCACTTCCAGGTTTTTTGGTACTTAATTGTAGATAACAGTCTCACAGGCTTTGAACCTGGATCCTCAGATCTTGCTCTCTTGAGTAGCTAGGATTACAGATTTGATGTACCAGCACCTGGCAATTTCTGCCTTTTCTTTTCTTTTTCTTTTTATTGTGAAAATACTATACAGAGGGGTTACAACTACATGGGCAAGATAATGAGTATATTTCTTATCAAGCATTGTTGCCTCCTCCTTTGTTTCCCCTTCCCATCCATTCCTATCCTCCCCCTTTCGCCCCCCCCCCAATAAAGTTGTAAAGTTCATTTTTCGACATAACGACTTGTACATCTCATTGTTGCAATGTGTTCACCTATATCCCTATTTAAACTATTTGTTTTTTCCCTTCCCCTCCACAAATTATACCGACATCAAATACAGTGAAAGCAGGGGTTATACCGTGGGGGAGGGACATACAAAGCATCAAAGAAATCATCTTATAAATGTGTTAAAAACAATCGCATGAAAGAAAAAACATTTGAATACATATCTTAGTGTTCATTTCCCTAACATCAACTTATTTGACCTTTTCTGCTTGACTCAGACATATACTAGATATTGCAAATAAGGGAAACCATGGGACCTATGTTTCTTTGGGCCTGGTTTACTTCACTTAATATAATTTTTTCCAAGTCTTTCCATTTCCTAACAAATGGGGCAATGTCATTCTTTCTGATGGAGGTATAGAATTCCATTGTGTATATATACCACATTTTCTTGATCCATTCATCTACTGAGGGGCATCTGGGTTGGTTCCATATCTTAGCTATGGTAAATAATGCTGCAATAAACATAGCGGTGCTTGTTTGTGAACATTTGGAATTTGCCTTTTCTTAAATCCAACAGTAGGTAAGTTAGAGGGTACAGCTATTGCTTCCTTTCATCTTTTGCCCTTTTCTGTTCTTTACCTGAGATACTTAAAAAAAAAATAGTAACAGATTACAGAAGATGTAATTGTTTTCTAAATCAACAACAGAAATCTTTGCAATTAGATGCTATACATGAGTAAGTTATTTAAGGTCATTACTAAAACAGTCAATATGAAATTTGAATCTGCTTTTCATATTCAGATAATGAAATGACACTAACTTCTGATACATATTTAGTAACAAAAAACTCAGGAACTAAAATTGCTTCAAGGGAGGCAAATTTTCATTTGTGATTACGATAAGAAAGCTCCTCTTCTAATTACTGGTGTTTATTAGAATTAAATAAGTTCTAGAAAAAAATGAAGAAACACATTTAAAATTTTGACATGAATTTGGGCTCCAAATTGCAGAAATTAGGTCATTTATCAAAGAATTGAGTCAATTTATTAAAATACAAATTTACAGTAAAAAAACTATAAATACAAATTAAAAACAATACAATAGTAAGTAAAAAAATAAATTATAAAGAATTTTAAGTCTGTATAAAGTTTTAACTTTGCAAATTTAAAAACTGAAATTTTTATTAATTTTTAAATTCATTTTCAAAATTAGATTTATCAAAAAAGACTAGACCAACACTCCTTTGTACTTTGATCTTTCCTACATAAATATTTTATTAAGAGTAACAAAGAATTAAAGAACATTTACTGAGGGCTAAGTTTACACTACCATCCATTTTGCTTACTGCCTTAGGCATTTTATCTCAACCTTCACAATTAACAAATGCAAAGTCAGTACTACTATTTATAGAGAAGCAAAAGGAGGCTTAAAGAAATTACAGTAGTTGCCTGAGACCACCCTGCTAGCAAGTGCCATAGACCAGATGTAAATCTGATTTAACTGTGGGTCAAAGAATTTTTACCCCTGTGCTCAACTCTAAGCATCTAAGAACTGTCCATGAATGCCTGTGCAGTATGGGATGAAATTATTTTTCAATTTGGAACTTAAAAACAGGATCCATTTTTTTTTAAAAAAACACCTAACTAAATATACATTTCTTTGGGCTCTGAAATATGTAAGAAATATAATGGGAAACTAACTGCCAACCTTTGGTCATTTACTGTAATAATGAATGGAAAAGAAAGAGCATAAACTCAAAAATGTTTAAACTGGGGTAATTTGAATAACCATGAACACAGTATATCAGGAACAATGGATATAAGGGAAAAATGAATTATTTCATAGCAGTTAAATCACAAAGAGTAAAGAAATTGATATTAACTGAGAATTAAAAGCTGTGCTGAGCCAGGCACCAGTGGCTCACGCCTGTAATCCAAGCTACTCAGGAGGCTGAGATCTGAGGATCATGGTTCAAAGCCAGCCAAGGCAGACAAGTCTATGAGACTCTTATCTCCAATTAACCACCAAAAAGCCAGAAGCAGAGCTGTGGTTTAGGTGGTAGAGTGGTAGCCTTGTGTGGTACCAGTGGTAGCAGTGTCCAGGCCCTGAATTCAAGCTCCAATACAGGCACCAAAAAATAAAAAGCTCTCCTGAGCACCTAACCTAGGAAAGTTTACATATTTTGTATTTAGTCCTTATATAACATCTACAAGGTCATTATTAAATTCATATGACAAAAGAAAATCCTGTCTACAATGTTAAGAAATTCACCCAAGGTCATATTGCTGATATGTGGCATAACTGGGATTGAGACCCAGATCTGATTCAATTCAAGTATGTACACACACACACACACACACACACACACACACACACACACACACACACACACACACACACACACACACACACACACACACACACACACAGACACACACACCAGCAAAGGCAGAAAATGCAAATGGAAAAATCCAAAGGGAAGGTATCAATTTCAAAACTATTTGAAAAGGCAAAAATCTAGAAAAGATTTTCTTCAATCATATATGGGCATATTTAGTGATTAAGCTAATTCAGACACCTCATCATTGAAAACTATTTCTATAGAATCACTTACCTGGCCAAAGCTGGAGCAAGTAATGAAGAACTTCAATATGTTTTTTAAAATCCAAAGCATTTGCAAGTTCTTCAGAATCAGTGAAGACTCTGTTGTTATGGGTAGAAGTCTCTTGCCTTTGACTTAATAATACTGGTCCGAAACACACTGCCAAATTCTGGCAGGTCATCTTGTTCACTTCATGGTAAGAAGCCACCAATTTTAAATGATCCAACAACATCTTTAGAGTTGCCTACATAAAATGAAATCTTACTTAGTACATTTATACTAAGGCAAATACAATGGCCCAATTTGCAGCAAAAATGTATGTGAACATATGTGTATACACACATAATAATAAAAATAAGTGGCATGATATCACTTTTCAAAAGATTTTCTTTTATCTATTGTTGGCATTTTCATCTCCTTACTCAGTCCCCCTCCCCTACCTCAACCTATCAGGTGCTTCTTTGCTCCTTTGCTATTCCCCTCCCCCACCCAAAGGAAAATCTCATTGGAGAGGGCATAGGACATGTAGGGACCGCCATTAACTACTTAATGTTATTGAACTCAAAAGTTTCTTCCTACTCATCCTTGCACTTTGTTCCCCACATCATGATAAATGCTAGCAAAGTTAGCTTCTTTAAGACAAGCCTAACCAACTCTTTCTCTAATTTTACCTTCTTTTTTTTGGCTTTGAGGCTGAAACTTCAACTCCATACTTTGGCTCACTGGCTGGTGCAATGCCATGTGAACCCTGCCTCCAACCCCTTCCCCTCAATTTTAAGAATAGAGCTAAGGCTGATTATACAGGCCAGCCATGCTTTTTTCTCTCATAGGAATATCTAAGAATGCTGGTGCCAAGCTTAAATTTGGGAGAGGAGTCAAGGAGGAAGAGGCAAGGAGGACCAATTTAAGAATTGGAGCTTAAATCTTAATGCTCAATAAGCCATACACACTATGACATAGTTGAAACATATTAAGCATATTTTAAATTAAACACATCTTAAAATTGTCAATATATTAAAAGAAACCACACCAAAGGGTTCATTATAGTTGCCTTTAGATATTGGTAATTATACCTAGGTTAAAGTTGCATACTAAAACCAGCCAGGTGATTTCTAGATTTATGCTATTTAAGAAGTGATCCAGACTGATGAGTTGTCTGACTCTGATCAAGCTACATTGCACACATAAATGGACATACTCAGTTAAAATCCTATTTGAAGATAATAATTTTTTAAGTGATAAAGACAGAAGTTAAACTCATTAGTGCCACAAATGACAAAGACCTAAGAATCGTTTGTAGCTCTGGAGCTAAGCATATACTTCATTTATTGGCTTTCAGAAATGTATAGCAATTGTGCTTACCTTCTCCACATCTGGAAGACAATTCAACAGGTCAACAGTGTACTTAGAATCACTTGGGTCATTCTCACAACCACTTGCTGACATTTTCAAAGGACTTTTTATCATTGTATCTAACACAGCCTTATAGAGCTGTTTTGATATCAGAGGAGAAGGAAGTTCTCTTAAAAAATCCTTAAGAACACCTTTAGAAAACAAATCAAAACAAGTTGATCACACTTCAATGTGAAATAAACTAAAGTAAATGTTTTTAATGTAAGTATTACAGTCAATTTTCAGTAATCTGAAAACAACAAAGCAACAACCTAAAAAGCATCATCACAGGGAGGCAAAGACAAGGGATCACAGTTTGAAACCATTTTGGCAAAAGTAAAAAATTCTCTGATGGCTCAAGCCTATAATTCAAGCTATTCAGGAGGCTGGACAACTGAGTGTACAGGTTTGAAACCACTCTGGACAGACAAGTCCAACAGATTCTTTATCTCCACTTAACCAGCAAAAAGCCAGAATTGAAGATGTGGCTCAAATAGAATACTAGCTGGGAGTGAAAAAGCTGAGTAAGAGGCCCATAGCTCAAGAAACAACAAAACAAAAAAGCAGGCCAGGCATGGTGTGTGTGTGTGTGTGTGTGTGTGTGTGTGTGTGTGTGTGTGTGTGTGTGTGTGTGTGTGTGTGTGTGTGTGTGTGTGTGTGTGTGTGTGTGTGTGTGTACATATATGTACATCCATACACACATTTACATATATATATATATATATATATATATACATGTATGTATATATTTCCTTTCTCTGGTCTCTTCTATTCAAGTCCATCACATAGAGTTGCCAGATTAATATTCCTAAAAACAATCTTTAATAGCTTTACTTCCTTAATCAAAAATCTTTAATGGAGTCCTTCTGCCTAGTAAATAGTCTAAATTCTCTAGTCAAACAGTCAATGCCCTTTTCATAACCTAAGACACAAATTGAACTCTCATAGCATTTTAGTAATCCCTCTCTCTGCTAGCTACTATAGCTAATTTAGTATAAGTCTTACTTCTCTCATCATTTGTTAGCTGTTTAAGGGCAGGAACCATATCTAATCATTTTCCTACAGAAAATAACGAAGGAGTTTTTTGAAGGAAGGAAAGTTAGACAAGAATCAAGTCACATTAAATCTTGGTTACAAAATAGTGTTTCAATTCTCCTGTCTGTAGATGTAACCTTTCCAAAACAAATATATAAAATAATATCTATTTATCACCTGTTATTACATTTACATCTGGGTACTGGTTTTCACACAGACCAACAGTCTTGCTATCCTTTTCAAAAGCTTCTCGAAGTTCTTTTTTTACTGCAGCCGAACCACATAATCGATATAGGCCTACTACCTAAAAATAAAATTATGGGAACATTATGATAAATTTGACAAATACAAAACATAAGAATACAATATAAATTACATGAACGTGGCAAATATGTTCTGATGGCATTTAATGATAACACTTCAAACATAGCTTTTGAAGTCTCACTATAGACTAAATTGATTAGTTCAATGAAACATCCTAATATTTCATTTCAGTTCAAACAATACAATTTCTATAGTCTCATAAGAAAAATATAGAATCCCTTCTCCTTAGTTTTATATGCTTAACTCGTATCTCCATACCCCAAGATTGTACCCTTTACATCTTTTCTCTTAAACTGAACCTAACATTTCTCAGAGGTAGTATGTCACAGTACTAAACAAGCATGAGTCATAAACTCTCAGTCTATGAGAGTAAATTTGGTAAACTTGGTAAATTTGAGCAAGTTTTTTAATCTCTTTAAAAAAACTCAATTACTGCCAGGCACTGGTGGCTCACACCTGTAATCCTAGCTATTCCAGAGACTGAGATCTGAAGATGGTGGCTCAAAGCTAGTCAGGGCAGGAAAGTCCATGAGATTCTTTTTTTTTTTTTTTTTTGGCCGGTCGTGGGGCCTGAACTCTGGGCCTGGGTGCTATCCCTCAGCTCTTCAGCTCAAGGACAGTGCTCTACCACTTGAGCCACAGCGCCACTTCCAGCTTTTTCTGCTTATGTGGTGCTGAGGAATCAAACCCAGGGCCTCATGCATGCAAGGCAAGCACTCTACCACTGAGCCACTTTCCCATCCTATCCATGAGATTCTTATCTTCATTAACCACCAGAAAAGTGGAAGTGTAGCTGTGGCTCAAAGTGGCAGAGCACTAGGTTTGAGCAAAAATAGCTCAGGGACAACTCCTAGGCCCTGAGTTCAAGCCCCATGACTAACAGCAGCAACAATAACAACAAAAAACCCTCAATTACTTTATCCACTAAATAAGCAGAGTGGAAACAAGGGTCCTGCATATGATTTACATAAAGTCCTTTAGGGGAAAAAATATTTTGAGGAAGAAATAAAAGCAAATAGTTATAAAGTTATATAAAAGTTTAAACTAAAACACTATATCAAAGGTAAAATAAAGACTATTTGAAAATTAAATAAGTTCATATGCACTGCTACTACAACAAAATTAAGTATCCAACTACCTACAATGATTAAGTATTACTAGTACATACAGGTTCTAAATTATTATGTCTTAATAAGTTCACTTTAATTCAAAGCCAGCATAAGCAGGAAAGTCTGTGAGACTCTCATTTTCAACTACCCAAAATGCCATAAGTGGAGCTATGGCTCAAGTGGTAGAGTACTAGCTTTGAGCATAAAAGCCATGGGACAGTGCCACAGTCTAAGCCCCAGAACCAGCACACACAAAAAAAGAAGAAACTTAATAAAGAAAAATAACTGGCCAAATAAGTTGGACTAGAAGTAAAGGCCTCACTCAACACAAGCAACATAGGCACCAAATCATATATCTGAGCTGGTGGTTTAGATATGTTATCTTGTAGCTTTAAGAAGCTACTATACATATTTATAGAGTAAGCAGTCAAGACCCATAGAGATTTGTCCAACATCACACAGATAATAAAAGAGGAGACATCAGTGCCCAGGCTTCATATCTTAATGTAAAATTCCATTAACCTATGCTTTCTATTGTTTCTGCATTAAATTCAAAGGGAGATACTGTAAATTAGCAACTATTTCATGTTGTGATAGTTACTCTTTCTTTTGTCTTTTTAATCAATGTTGCAAATATAATAGCAATAAAACAGAAATGTCTCAGAATACAGTATTTTCCTCAGTGATATGTTGTGTCTCACTATCATAATCCACATGTATTAATTATAATGAAAAAGATAAGGTCTAAAGATTGGTCAACAAGCACATCTTATTACAAATAACACCAGGATTTTTGTTTGTTATAATGGGTTGCCTTTACCTTCTAATTTAAAAGGGAATGAGATGCGTTACTATTATATTTGTTATTTGACCTCTCCTCATTCAACATGCTATCCCAGAGTAGAGCCAGATAAGGTCATGACAGAGAGACAGAGAAAGAGTAGGAAATTACAGGAGAGCATTTATTATGCAAGTGAGGCAGAGCTATGGGAGTCACTACTAGAACTTCCTAGAACTTCAAACCATGCAGAAACATTTCTTAATTAGCTTTTGCCTATTCGATCAGTTTTTCTAAAGAATGACATTGTAAAGCAAGCTTGATCTCTAGTTATAAAACCCATACATGGTAAAACTATCAAGTATGTGATCAAATCTTGAGCAACATAGGTTAATATATGAATCATACCCTAAATAGGGATACATTAAAAACAGTAGGAATGGAAAAATATCTAAGTTATTTTTACCTTACCTTGAATTCTTTCTCCCAAGACTTACAATCAATCAATTAATCAATGAATAAAGGAGGTAGTAGAGAAACACAGTGAAATAATACCTGACAGCCTCTCTTTTCAATTTCCATAATACATTTCTGTATCAGGAGTGGCACCATCAAGCCTACATTTTCTTTTTCTACAACTTTTTGAATGTCAACACCAAATATCACTGGTTCTTCATTCTTATCTAGTCCATGGAGAGAATTCTCCCACTGTTCCATAAGAGTCACTTTTACATAAATAAGACCTCTAGGTTCAAGTTTGACAGCCAACTGGTGTGTCTTCGTCACTCTGAATAAGGTGGGGAGAACAACAGTTCCATGACAACATACTCGATTTTTTCTTGGAGTGGGCTCCCAACTGAACACTACGAGTTTCAGATGTTGTGCATTTTCAATTTCTATATTGAAAGTATGATCCATATCTAAAAATGTTGTCCGACATGTAAGCAATGCTGTTCTTGCTTTGTTTACTGAATCTACCTGAATTGCACAGAAAACATCTTTTGAATCTATCCGGGGTGGCTTTAAATCCTCTGCACCATAGAAATGCACACTCATGAGCCCTGATATGTACTGTGAACATTTGGGTTGATCAGAAAAGCTATAGTGTCTAAAAGCATCGATATCTATTTCATTTTTGCTACAACTGTTGGGAATTATTTCTTTTGCTTTTCCAAATTTGTTTTCAGATCCATGTTTGGTAGATTTAGTTACAAGTTCAGGTGAGTCTCCATCACTGAGGTAACCACCTTTGCAGGAATACTTTGGACTCACTGAGGCTTTCTTCCGGTAGCTGTGCTGAGAAGATACTGTGGTATCAAGATGGTATCGACTTATAACATTCCTCTTAGCAGCTGTGGTTGTGCTCCCAGAAGGTAGAATAACAGTGTGATGAATTTCTCGACAGTTACATTTAGACAAGGAAGGGGTATTATCTGGACTATTTATATAATTGAAGGTTCCTTTAACACCCAGCTTTCGGCTAAATTCTGGCAACCTTTTCATTTTCATGGAGAGTTTTCTCACAGTTCGTGGAGATTTTATTTTATCTGGCAAAGACCAATTAATTGAACTGCCTTTTTTCACAGGACTAGGGCTTGGAGAGGAAGGTTCTACAATCCCAAGTTCAGTTCTATTTGTAGTAGCTAACATCCCTGGACCTTAAAAAAAAAAAAAGAAAAAAAGAGAAAGAAAGATATTATAAAATGATATATACATATTGATTTCTTCTTTTACTTCTATTTTATAAACTATCCATTTCTTAAATAGGCAGAAATTGTTTCCTTGTTTCATTTAAGTGGGGGGATTTAACTAGAAGTTAAGGCCAATCTCTTTCTATGTTCAAACAAAGTATCAAAAATCTCCAGCAGACTTATAATAATAAGAAAGATCTCTATGTGCTATTCTAAGAAACAGGGTAATGAAGGTTCCACTTTAACATTTATCAAAGCAATATACTCCAGTGAGTATATTATAACCTTCAAACAGTGGTTTACTCTCCAGAAAACTAGGAAAGCCTTTCATCTTAATATTTATTCTAATTAAAAACACGAATTATAAGACTGTTTCTTCCATGCTTATCATCCTCTTATTGTATAGAACTGCTGGTTTTAAAGCAAACTTGTTTATATTTGGGCAGCCAAGAGCTCCTCATTGCCCTAAAATTCTATTGTAATATCTCCAAAAGCAGGCTGAATTCTAGTCAATCAAGAATAAGTGAATATTGGGGCTGGGAAGGTGGCTCAGTGGTAGAGCGCTTGCCTCGCATGCATGAGGCCTGGGTTCAATTCCTCAGCACCACATAAGCAGAAAAAGCTGAAAGTGGTGCTGCGGCTCAAGTGGTAGAGCGCTAGCCTTGAGCTGAAGAGCTGAGGGACAGCGCCCAGGCCCAGAGTTCAGGTCCCATGACCAGCAAAAAAAAAAAAAAACAAAGAATAAGTGAATATTGTAAGTCAAACTGATAATGTTCAAAGGTGTTAACATATTTTCTTTCCTTTATAATTTGTATAGAACAGTTATACAGAACTTCAAATGTTAATTAAGCTAATTTTTGACAAAGGAGCCAAGCACATGTACTAGACAAAAGACAGCCTCTTGAACAAATAGTACAGAAAAACTGGGAATCTACCTACAAGAGACTGAAATCTGACCCTCAACAAAAATCAACAAAAGCTGAATCAAAGAGCCCAAAGTAAGACCTGAAATGTATAATTTACAATAGGAAAATGTAGGAAAAACCCTGGAAGTTACCACAAAGGTAAATTTTTTTTATTAGGACCCCAGCTACCCAGAAGACTGGGAGCAAGAAGTGACAACTAGAATTCTATCAAAGTAAAGAGTTTCTACACACCAAAACAATCACCAGAACAAAGAAACAACTCGTAGAAAGAGAGAAAATCTTAGCTAACTATTCAACAGATGAAGGATTAATATTTAGAAAGAGCTCAAAATATTAAACAGCAGGCTGGGAAGGTGGCTCAGTGGTAGAGCGCTTGCCTTGAGCTGAAGAGCTGAAGGACAGTGCCCAGGCCGAGTTCAGGCCCCACGACCGGACCCAAAAAAATAAAAATAAATAAATAAATAAATAAACAGCAAGAGAACAAATAATCCAATCAATAAAAGGGTGAGTGAACTGAACAGTTCTCACAAGAATATAAATAGTTTAAAGAAAGGAAAAAATACAGAAACCAGTCTATGTAAAACTACATCTCATAATTTAAATGAAAAAACGTTTGTATTCATTCTGAAATCAGTAGATTAAATGACTTTTCTTTAAAGTATTACTACACTATTCTCCCTCTACCCATTTCTGTGTGTCCTAATGACAAAGAAGTATTTATTTTATAGAGGGAGTATGTATACTAGGCTTTTCTTGGAAACAACTAATGAGTAATGGAATGTTGGATAAAGTGGACAAAGCATCGCCTTGTCTTGCAAATCACAGTACAATTCTACTAGCTTACTAGTCAAAAGCATTTTATACCACGGACTGCTTTAGTCTACAAATGATCTATTTTGCCACAGCCTAGAAAAAGCTACCCAATATATTAAACTGTTCTTAGTTTCATTAAATCATTAACAAGTTTCACATGATGACTAATTTTTATACGCTATAAGTAAATAATCCCCACTGAAGTCTTCAACTGTTAAAATTAAATATTGTATGTTTAAAATGCTAATGCAGACAAGAGTGAATTTATTCAAATAAAAATGTTTGTTTCTATCAGATGCAATAACTGAAATATTACCAAATTCCACAATCACTTAAAAGTAACTATAATACACTAATCAAATTATGTAACTGTAAGAAGCCAAGTACAAAACAAAAATCTTTATAAATATGAATTTATGAATGCACTAGGTTAGAGTCAAATAAAACTAGTATATCCCTGTAACATGTGGAATAGTAAATACCACATTTACAGGACCCTGACATTTATCACACAAATGAGCAAACTAACAAACAATTGTTAGTTGCTCTATAAATTGGTAGGCCTTTTAGAAAATATAGTATAGGAATTACCAATTACTTTCTACCAAAAAAACTACTGAAACAAAGAAATGAAAAGCAATAAATAACACAAAAGGACATATAAATTAACTGTGTATTTCCTTTGGGCAATTCAGGATTATACTTAGGATTATACTTATTAAGAGAATGAGAAAGAAGACAAAAGGAGGGCCTGGTGGTACACTGCAGTAATCCTGGGAGGTTAAACCTAGGCAGGTTAAAGCAGGAGTATCCTGAGTTTGAGGCCAGCTTGAGCTACATAACAAATCCTGTCTCCAAATGAGAGAGGGGAGGGTCAGAGATATAGCAGTTATTCTATACTTTGAAAAAAAAAAATGTTTGTCAGTCTTATTAGATTCACTACTGAGTGACCACAAATAAAAAACATTAAGTTTAATTAAAATAACTTAAATCCAAGTGTTACTTGGAGATGCTTGTTTTACTAACTTAGCTCATCTTTATATTCCTACTTTCTCTGTTCCATTCCATATTCATCCCTATTTGTGATGGCTTCTTCTCCTGATTACCACCTATAAACTATGGGAGTCTGGGGAGTTGTTTTGTTTTTTGTCAATTGTGGGACTTGAACTCAGGGCCTGCTGGCTGACCCTGAGCTTTTTCCGCTCAAGGCTAGCTCTCTACCACTTCGAGCTACAATGCCACTTCTGGTTTTCTGGTGGTTAATTAGAGATAACAGTCTCACAGATTTTCCTCCTCAGGCTGGCTTTGAACCATCATCCTCAGATCTCAGCATCTTGAGTAACTAGGATTACAAGGCATGAGCCACAGGTGCCCAGCCAAACCACCATTTTATACAGTATGCTTCTCCCTATCCAGATTATAAGAGAAATATATGTCTACAATTAAACTGCACAAAGAAAAGTATTTTGATTACTTTCAGTCCCAAGAAAATAAAAACACAGTTATCAGCATTTCTTTCAAAATTGGCATCATATAGTACAAACTTTCAGGTGATGGTACTGAATCTAAGGCCTTAAACATACCAGACAAGTGTCCTACCAGTGAGCCCCAGCACTTGTTTGGTTTTTGTTTTTTTTTTTTCCTTAATTCAGGTTAGGTAACACAAGCTGCCCTCAAACTTGAAATCCTACTGCCTCAGTTTCCTCAGTTCTGGGACTATAGGCATACATGCCTGTACATCACTAAGCCTGATACTATTTCTCTTCATCTAATACTTACTCTATTTGCCAATATCTCTAATAAATAGATTTAAATTCACATTATTTATTTGCAAAGTATAGAAATATCAACAACAAATTACAAAACTTCAGGAGAAAATTCAAGGTGACTATAAAACCTGCTCCCAATTATGAAAAACTGTAGCTTAACTCAAGAGAAAATTCTCAAAAACAATGCAAAAGATAGTCATACACTACCAGCTCCTGCAAGTAACTGATTAAGGGGAATACCTAGGCTGCCTTGCAGAGATTCCCTGACTTCAGAGACAGTCTTCAGCAGAGATGCTGATACTAAAGTGTAGAAATGGACTTCCTCCCTCCTACATTTAAGCAGTAAGTAATAAAACCGAGACAGAGGGTGAAGACATTGACAGCATCTGCTACACCTCACATCTTTGAATATTCCACATCATTCAAAGTTCTATAAATTAAAATGCTATAAAACAGAACTGATTCCTATTCTACATGTGATTTGTACTATCAGACGCGCCTTTTTCTGTTTCCTGGGTCTAACAGAAGCGTATCAGAAAACTGAAAACAAGGAAAAATAAAAGCATACAAATTGTTCTTTTTGGAGGTTTTTTCTGTTGTTGTTGTTTTTACCTTAACAGAAAAAAAAAAAACAAAACTGTTGCTGGCCAATGTCTGTAATCCTAGCTACTCAGAAGATGGACATATAAGGATAATGGTACAAAGCCAGCCAGAGCAGGAAAGTCCATAAGACTTTTTATCTCCAATTAACTACCAAAAAGCCAGGAATGGAGCTGTAGCTCAAGTTACAGCAGAACACCAGCCTTGAGCAAAAAAGCTAAGGGACAGTGCCTAGACTCTGAGTCTAAAAACTAAAAATTAAAAATAACAACAAGGGCTGGGAAGGTGGCTCAGTAATAGAGTGCTTGCCTCAGATGCATGAGGCCCTGGTTTTGATTCCTCAGCACCACATAAACAGAAAAAGCCACAGATGGTGCTGTGGCTCAAGTGGTAGAGCATTAGCCTTGAGCTGAAGAGCTGAGGGACAGCACCCAGGCCTAGAGCGTATCTGCAATCCAAATACTCAGAGGGCTGAGGTAGGAGGAAGAAAAGTTTCAGGTTAGCTTGTTAGGCTACATAGCAAAACCCTGCTTCAACAAAGAAAAATAAAAGAGGAGGAGGAAAAAAAAAAAATCTTCACTATCAGCAGTTTCACATGGTTCAACCTAAATGATCAAACTTCAGATATTTCCTTTATGGTTTTGTAACTAATGTAGTATTTACCATTAGCAAAGTTTTGGGTTTTTTTTTTTTTACTTCTACTACATATTTCTTTTTCTCCCTTTACTTTGCTCAAAAGGAAACTTAAGCCAAGCACTGGTGGCTCACGCCTGTAATCCTAGCTACTCAGGAGGCTGAGATCTGAGGATCTCAGTTCAAAGCCAGCCTGGGCAGGAAACTCCGTGAGATTCTTATCTCCAGTAAACCACTAGAAAACCAGAAGTGGTGCTGTGGCTCAAGCAGTAGAGCGCTCACCTTGAGCTGAAGAGTACACAGACAGCACCCAAGCCCAGAGTTCAAGCCCCACGACCGACAGAAAAAAAAAAAAAAAAAGGAAACTTAAGTGCTTGCCTAACATGTACAAAGCACTGGGTTCAATCTATAGGAGCACAAAAGGGGAAGGGAGGAAAGAGAGGAGGGAAGAAGATAGAGAAGGAAGGGGAAAAATCAGGCCTAGAATTCTTTTACCTGAAAAAGCAGATTTCAACATGAGACTGTTCTCCATTATACTTTCTTGGGTTTTGTATCCTAGCCTTTGCTTGTACTGCTGCATAAATTCTGTAGAATGGGTGGAATTTCTGGAACTCATTCCATTTGACTGCAAGCTCTGAATATCACCTGTGTGTTCCGCAGCGCATACCAAGTCTTCAGTATGCTGTTCTGCTTTCACTGATTCACTGTCAGACAATATACTCAAACTGAGAGCAGGAAGCTTCAGGACAGGAGGATTTGCCTCATGGAAACTCAAGGCACTGGCATCATCATCCTCAGGAATGGGGTTGTACCAGATTTCTCCTTCATCATCTGCATCATTTTCCTCATTAGAGTCAAAAGAACAGTTTCTTGATAATGAAGAGTTTGTAGTATCACAAACCAGGTATGAATAGTACTCCTCAGATGACTTGAAGGAAGGCTGCGATAGCTGAGGTTTAGAAAGTGACACAGGAGGGATGGAAAAAGGACTTCTATCTTGGAATTTCTTATTTTCTTCTAGATTAAGAGTCCTCAGAGTACTCTGATACAGCCAATTGCGTTTCTTTGAAACAGTGATGCTGTTAAGTGGCCTAGGATCCCTGAACTCAATATTATCCTTCAGGTCTTCAAGTTCTCTTCTCTTCATTGATGACCCATAGACATTTTCAAATAAATCTGCTTCAAAGAAGAAAAGAAAAGATATAATGTCTGATATAACAGGAAAACCATGTCACTTCACACCAGTTATTAAAATGCCTAAAAAAAAAAGAAAAAGGAAAGTAATATTCATCACATTTCGAGACCAAAAGAACATGGAATATAATGCCTAACATAACAGAAAAATCCTGTCACTTTACACCAGTTATTATGTCTAAAAATAAAAATAATATTCATCATATTTGGAGACCAAACTCTAACCAGAAAAAATTCTGGAGTTTCCATGTGATTATGATTCTCATTAGTAAGCAATCAGACTGCTAATTTGTCACAGAATTCTAAAAAGAATATATAAACACTGTTTTAAAAAAGAAAAAACAGCCGGGCATCCATGGCTCACACCTGTAATTCTAGCTACTCAGGAGGCTGAGATCTGAGGATCACAGTTCAAAGCCAGCCCATGCAAGGAAAGTCTGTAAGACTATCTCCAATAAACCACTCAGAAAACTGGAAGTGGCGCTGTGTCTCAAATGGTAGAGCGCTGCTCCCCTTGAGCTGAAGAGCTAAGAGATAGTGCTCAGGCTCAGAGTTCAAGCCCTACAACCAACAAAAAAAGGAAGAAAAAAACTGTAAGCAAAACAGGCCTTACAAAAAGCCAAAAGAATGCTTTGTATATAGTCTGCCCTTAATTTTGTTTTCAATTCACTATTGAAAGGGACCATGCCATATGCTGGTGGCTCCCATCTGTAACCCTAATTACTCAGGTGGTTGAGATCTGAGAACTGTGGTTCAAAGCTAGTCCAAGTGAGAAAATCAAATCTGCAAGACTCTTATCTCCAATTAAGCACCCAAAAGCCAGAAGTGGAGTTAAGGCTCAAGTGGCAAGAGAGCTAGACTTGAGCAAAAAAAGCTGAAGCCCAGACACAGCTCCCTCTTGCAAAAAAAGGACCAGAAGTCATTAGAAAACATAAATATTCCAGTCTTTTCAAATATATTTTTAACAATGTAACAAAAATATCACTTCCTAGTGATTAATAAAATTTCATGATAACATTGGTTTTCTAATCATACAGTATAGTAACTTATACAGAATTTGAGCTCTAAATATCTAAGACATACACAAATGTAAAAAATCTCCTAAGCAGGGCTGGGAAGTTGGCTCAGTGGTAGAGCGCTTGCTTTGCATGCCTGAGGCCCTGGGTTCGATTCCTCAGCACCACATAAGAAAAAAGCCGGAAGTGGCGCTGTGGCTCAAGTGGTAGAGCGCTAGCCTTGAGCTGAAGAGCTGAGGGACAGCGCTCAGGCCCAGAGTTCAGGCCCCACAACCGGACCCAAAAAAAAAAAAAAAAAAAAAAAAAAAAATCTCCTAAGCAGGTCCCACATTATAACAACATTCTATTTCACAGTTAAGTATAAAATAACTATCATAAATTCAAAGTCCAATGGAAGACCATAAATGTATTTGTTAATGTGATAAAATTCTTAAGAATGTACATATAACATTACTTCATCTAAATAGGAAAGTTTTATGCTTCCAAAGAGGTGAATTAAGCAGGCTTCAATGGCAGTGAATAAGCTACACGTGTATCTATTATAATAATAACTCACTATCATACATAATTAAACCACATTTATAGAAATCATGTCATGTCTATAAATTAAGATACCACTTTGAGTGGGGGGGGGTTGATTCATCTTAATGTTACAGCAAATAAAAAGCGATATAATATGGAATGATAGAACATATTAAGCTATGTGAAGTTTAATGTCAAACAAACCATTAGGTTCATATATAATTAAGCTTTTCCATAACCTCCCTTGTACTAAAAAACAAAACACTTTGACACATGTAAATTTGGGGTTTTTAAATCCTTTTTTAAAAACTGGGCAGCAGTGGCTCACACCTGTAATCCTAGCTACTCAGGGGGCTGCGATCTGAGGATCATGGTTCAAAGTCAGCGCAGGTAGGAAATCCTATGATATTCTTATCTTCAATTAACCACCAGAAAACTGGAAGTAGTGGTGTGGCTCAAAGTGTTTAGAGTGCTAGCCCTGAAAGACAGAGCTCAGGGACAGTACACAGGCCCTGAGTTCAAGCCCCACTACCGACAAAAAATAAAAAATAAAATAAAAATAAAACATGTACCCTACACCAAGCAAATTAGTAAAAACAAAACAATCAGCTGAAGCATATGGATCATGCCTTGCAACTGTAACTACTCTGGAGACTGAGATCTAGAGGATACCAATTCAAACCCAGCAGACACATTCATTAAGACTTTATTCCCAAAATAACAGCAAAAAGCCAGGCTGAAGGCATGGCTCAGAGCAAGCATGAGGCCCTGACTTTTAACCACAGTATTGAGAAAAGCATATATCTTAAACATAGATTAGAGTTCGTGTTTAATTAGTTCAAGAGAGAATGAAACATTCATGAACTCCCAGTATGTCAGCTATTTATTTTCTTAACAAACTTCAATCAGGAGAGACAAAGCAGTAAGGAAGCCCTAATTTCATTTCAACTCTTTAACTCTTTATGATTATTATCATGAGGCACAGAGTATGGGAAATGTGGTCAAGGCTTTAGTATTCAAAATTAAGCTTGTCTGATCATAAAATACACACTTAGCACTATCCCAGACGATGCTACCATTAAGAGCAGGGAATAGGCAACCCCCTCTGAATTTAGAATAAGATCATCCCATTTTATCCTATAAGGAAACTGCTGATACATTGGAAACTGTGAAGTTGTACACAGAAAAGTAAAATAATTTACCTAAGACACCTTATTGGTAACTGGGAGAGGCAGGACTCAAACTCTTCCAACTCCAAACTTCCCTCCAGGATTTACCATGCAAGCACGTAATAAATACTTTATAAATATCTTGCATTTATTTCATTTAACTAAAGAAAACCTAAAGATTCAAGAGTATCTCTTCTACATTTAAAGTTAACAACTGAAAATCATCAACCACATGCTCAGCAATCACTAGGACTTCTGGACTCTGTGACAAGCTTTTGCTAAGCAAACTGAAACTCCCATTTCACATTTGATTCCAACTCTCATATTATTTAACAGCATTTCAGACACACATAGAATTAAGACAATTATAAGTGTGAAGCAAAGTATAAAATTATGTAATTCATGATGGCTATCTGAGCCATGTTGTATCTTATTCTTATATCTCTCAGAACACCCAAAATTTATTGATGTTTTTGCAGGTTGTGAGAGCTTCAACTCATGGCCTGGGTGCTGGCCCTGAGTCTTTTACTCAAGGCTAGCACTCTACCACTTTGAGCCACAGTGCCACTTCCAGTTTTCTGGTGGTTAACTAGACATGGGTCTCAGGAACTTTCTTGCCCGGCTGGCTTCAAAACATGATGCCCAGATTGTAATAACCTGCAAGCAAGAAAAACCGGAGGCACAGTTAAAGGTGACAAAGGAGTTTTATTAGTTGGTCTGCAATCCTGTCCTGGGTTACCTCAGAACTAGGAACAGCTGCCATCTCCAAGTGGGGGAAGTTTGGTTTTTTTTTTTTTCCTTTTTCCTCCTTCCCACAGGCTTATCTGCTCTCTGCAGGCCTCTCTACTCTATACAGGCACCTGGGCTGTCTGAGGGCCTCTCTGCTCTCCACAAGCCTCTCCACAGGCTTCTGTACCTCTCCAGGGGCCTCTCCCATCTCAGCAGGCCTCTTGGCTCTTCACAGGCCTTTCCACAGCCCTCTCAGCTCTGCGCAGGCCTCTCCACCAGTCAGGGCCTCCTCAGGCCTGTTAGTAGTAATCAGAATATATGGTTTGAAGCTTTTGCAGTTTTATTAAACCACTTCCTTGAAATGTAAAATAGTAGAAACATGTTTCAAGAGTCATTTATATATAGTGTAGTACGTCAGAAATACTGATAGGACCCCAAAAAAGATGATTACCTAGGTACATAATATTTGGGTTCTGTGGCTCAAAGTGGCAGAGAGCACTAGCCTTGAGCAAAGAGTAGTGGTACTACTCTGTCATCCTAGCTAGGGCAAAAAACACAAAAACCAAAGGTCGTCCTTCAGGCCGGCCCAGGCTCTCTTCAAGCCTGAGGAGAACCAGAGAACTGCTCTGCTCCAGGATGCTCTTCCTGTGTGTCTCTTGCAGCATGTCCCCTTCTCTATCTCCTCCCCTGAACTCCCTCTTCTCTACATCCGGTGGTCCACACCCCTCCCAAGACGCCCTTTGACACCCCGCCCCCCAGTGGCCTGGCATGAGTGGTGATGACATCAGTGTGGCGCCTTCATGCCCCTCAGGTTTCACAAGCTCTCAGCCTCCTGAGTTGCTAGGATTAAGTCATGACCACTAACATCCAGCTCTTAAAACATGAGCTTTTTTTTGTGTGTGTGTGGGCGACTGGTCAGTCATGGTGCTTGAACTCTGGAGCCTAGGTACTATTCCTGAGCTCTTTGCTCAAGGCTAGTGCTCTACCACTTTGAACCACAGAACTCAAATTTTATGTACCTAGGTAATCATCTTTTTTGGGGTCCTATCAGTATTTCTGACATACTGCACAATATATGAATGACTCTTGAAACATGTTTCTACTATTTTACATTTCAAGGAAGTGGTTTAATAAAACTGTAAAAGCTTCAAACCATATATTCTGATTACTACTGCCGTATTTCAAGATATATGATGTTGAAGTTTAAACTTATAAATTGCTATACTATCATTTCTGATAGTATAAAGGCCAAATTATTACTGAAATATAATTAAACAAAACATTATTCAATGCAGTAAACTTTACTGGAAATAATTACTTATAAATTGTTGCATTTTTATCTCAGCTAACCTGATAGATACAAATGTAAATTCTATAAAGTCACATAAATGGACAACTATCTTCAAATCTTTTCTTTTTATGCTGAAATTAATACTCATCTTACTTATATCATTTTACATAAACTTAGGAGTAACCTTTCCTCTGTGTGTGTATTTCTTTTTGAAGACACAAGTAATACAAAAATAAGGCAAGCGTAGTGGCTCAT